TGGCTCGGGAGGGAGAGAGGACCCTGCCCTCGCTCGCCGCCGGCACGGACGCTCCCCGCCCGCCTCGGGGGAGCCTCCTCCTTCCTCCTCCCCTCCTCCCTCCTCCTCCCTCCTCTCCTCCTCCTCCTCCCTCCTCCTCCCTCCCTCCTCCCCCTCCTCCTCCCTCCTCCTCCCTCCTCCTCCCCCTCCTCCTCCCCCTCCTCCTGTCTCGCGCGTGCAAGAGGGCTGGGACGGGGTCGGCGGGAGCTGGGAGTGGGGGGGACGGAGCTATCGCGTCGATGCTCGAGCTGGCTCGAAGGGGCCTGCATCCCAAGACGGGCGAGCCCCTCGAGCCGCTCGTCTTCTCGGAGCTCGGGGTGCCTGCGATGCCGCAGCAGGCGCCCGAGCCCGAGGCACCTGACTAGTGGGCGGAAGTGCTGGCGGGGGGCGCGGTGCGAGTGGGGACTGCCCGGCGTTGCGCCGTTAGTGACCCTCGCACCGTTGCTCCCCAGCCCCGCGCACGGAAGGAGCAGTTCCGCTGCACTTAAGGGCCCCTTAAGTGCAGCGGGCTGTCTTGGCCTCCATCGCGTCGATGCTCGAGCTGGCTCGAAGGGGCCTGCATCCCAAGGCGGGCGAGCCCCTCGAGCCGCTTGTTTTCTCGGAGCTCGGGGTGCCTGCGATGCTCAGCAGGCGCCCGAGCCCGAGGCACCTGAATAGTGGGCGGGTGCGGGCGGGGGGCGCGGTGCGAGTGGGGACTGCCCGGCGTTGCGCCGTTAGTGACCCTCGCACCGTTGCTCCCCTGCCCCGCGCACGGCGCGGAGAGCGCCCCTTGTTGGATGAGGGCCCTCTCTCGTTCTTTTTTCGAGGCGTGTTCGTGATTCACCTGCACGCTCTCGGCACTGTCCTCACTGTCCTCCTCCCCCTCCTCCCCCTCCTCCCCGGATCCTCCCCGTGACGGGGGCGCGGCCCCCGGTCCCTGGAGCGCCTCGCTGCCCGTCGGCGCGCTCCGCGGGGAGGGCCCGGGAGCCTGTATAGGCGGGGCCCGGGGGGCCGGCCAGAGCGCCGGAGCGTGCAGCATCCTGCGGGGCCAGGTCAGGGGCAACGGTCGGAAGGTTGCTAGAAGGACAGAACTATCGCCAATTTGGGTATAGGCTCGTCTGTGCTACTTTGCCCTTTGGAAGTAGCCACCCCTTCAGGGTTGCATTGCTTTAAGGTTGATAGAAGGACAGAACTATCGGGGATGGGCATATAGGGGGGGATGCATCGACCCCCAATCGCCCATGGATCGCCGATAGGTGTCCGATAGCCCCAACCTCCCCAGGAACGTGGGGATTCACCATCGGAGGCCCATCGCCGATGTATCGGCGATGTATCGCCGATTCCAGGTCGAGGTTTCCCCCCTTATTTCTATCCCCCCTATCGTTGCCCCTCGGCCAGGGTCGCATTGACCCAGGCTTGGGTGTAGGATCTTGCAGGATCTTGCAGGATTCTACAGGATCCTGCAGGGCCAGGGTCGCATTGACCCGGGTTTGGGTGCAGGATCCGGCAAGGCCTGACTGACCCGGGTCTGGATTGACCCGGGTCAGCAGATCCCCGAAGGGTCGGCAAATTCGGAGGAAGAGAAGGTACAGTCAGCGCGCCTAGTAAGGACGCGCGCCTTCATCTAGGGTGCCCTTGTGTCCTTGCCTCTGCGGCCCGTCCTTTGCGGTTTTCACTGGTCGACGGCAGCCCGAAAAATCACAATTTCAGTCTCCAAGGGTCTTGCTTCCTTACCACCCGTCCTCAATAGACGTTTTGACTGTACCCATATCTCTACCCTTCCCTCGTCTTCCCCTTTTCGGGCCGCCTCGGCGGCCCTCGTCGCCACCGCTGGATTTGCCTTGAAGTCTTCGTCATAACGCACCCAGGGAGAGGTCCAGGGAGTAGCGGTATGGGTGCCTTTTGGTTTCCCCAGGTGAATGACTTGGGCCGGGCACTTTGATCAAAATTGCGCTCTTGGATGCCGCGATGCGTTGAAGCGGGTGGCGATGTTTGAGGTTTTTGGCCAGGCGTGGTTTCTTCGATCGCCTATACTTTCGAGTTTTCTGGGTTTCTCAGACCGCGTTCCACATTCCAGTTCATTTCTTCCTCTCCCCTCTGTGCCCACGTGGAATAACTGGCATGATAGAGCAAGACACAACAACATAAAGAGAGAGAGAGAGAGAGATAAATAGAGAGAACGAGAAAGAGACAGGGATATATATATATATATATAAACACAATAAGAGACACGTGCCGCGTAGCCAGGTGTGAGATGAGATAAGACGCGCGGGAAGGGTGCTTCGAAGGAGGTCTGGAAATTGCGCCTCCAGAGGTCGGTCTTAGACGAGTTTCCAATGGGATCCCACGTTTCCCTTCTCATTCACATCCTTGTCTCCTGTCTACTCTTTCTTCCCATCCCCCGTCTTACAGTCCTCGGCCATCCTGTTCTTGCCGTGCTTTCCTTTCCCATGTCGCGAAGGATGGGGTCACGGTCGGCCACTGGGATGTCACTGGCATCCACCAGGCATGCCCAGTCTCTGTCTTTCTATTCAGGACTCGGGGGGACGGAGAGGAACAGGATGATGAGGAACAGGGTGGAAGGAGGAGAAGGGGGAGCAGGAAACGTAGGAGGAGGAGAAAGAGGACAATGTGAAATAATGTAGCTATGCAAGTGAGTATGGAGTTGCTCATCCCTTATGCAGTCTTTCTGACTGAAGTGCTATGAGCTACCGATGAGCGGCGAGCACATCGCACTTGCCGTTCGTTGCGATCTTCCTGCGTATTCCCAGTAGCCCACCCAGCAGCGATGGAGGCCTTCGGGGCCATTTTGGATGCCGTTGGGGTCCTGCTGGGGCCCGCTTGGGGCTCTCTTAGGGCCACCTTGGGGAATATCGAGCAACGATGGAGGTCCGTACGTAGCGCTTCCCCTCCGGAGCCCTGAAGGTTTCGTCTTGGGGCGTTCCTGGACGCTCTTGGCGCCGTCTTGGGGCCAGAGCCACCTTGGACGTCAAATTGAAGCATATGGGGCTCCCTTGGAACTATCCTGGGCCACAGCAGACCCCTGTGCACCTCCCCTCCCCCCCGTCCCCCCCCCGTCCAGACCAGGGGGATGGGTGGGGGAGGGGGAAGGGGACCCCCCTTCCCAAAGGGAGAGAAGGGGGTTTGAAGAGGAGACGGGCTAGACCATTCTCGCTCTCAAGGTTTGGGAGGGGTTTGCATGGTATCGGGGCGAGGCTACTATGGCAGCGTCAGGACAGGCAGGAACTCCGGGAATCAACGGCCCCCCAGCTGCCCAGATCAGCTCAACGCACGAACGCACGAACACATGGTGCAACATAGTGAGGGCTTAGCCCAGACAGAAGCGAGCTCTGATTGGTGGTGTACCCAAGAGGAGACTACAACTGTGGCGGAACCGCGTTGTAGGCGAACCACGATCACCTGCATGACATCATCAGTGCACATGTCAGAGAAGGACGCAGGAAAGTCATCTGGATGAGGCGCACGCCTTCTTCTGGTATAGCCTCTGAGATGAACGAGGCATTGCTGAGCCTAGCTGACCGGGATGTTCGCCGATGGCGATGCGAAACCAAGTATGGACAAGGTCGTTGACATGGTGCGTGTTATCACGATGCACCACAAAAGGAATTAGGTTGTACAGCAATGCCGATGGCAGATCAACAGGAGGAACGAGGGGGCACGCGCCGAATTCGGCTAGTCCTCACAAGGCTGTTGCAGTGAAAGAGTTGCGTTGGGGACATATCAGAAGTCCGAAAGTGGAGTGAGAATTGCATCGACGCGTTAGCCCAGGCAAACGTTGGAACGCGAAAGGCGTGCTGACACTTCGATTCCAACTTAATGATAGGACGGTGCGTCACAATATATGGAGAAGGCGGACATGGCCCGATTGCGAAATATCAGGTTGATGGCTTTGCCAACAGTTTAAGAGGAAGACGATCAGGAAGGGCGAGTGCGAGTTCGCAGCCAAACGCATTTACTGGTTATGCGAAGGCCAGTGGGACGTTGTTGACGGGAAGCGTGGTGGCGTCAGAGCCAGATGCAAATTTAATCGGGTTGCGTGAATACCAAATGATCGTAGCGTCGCAAGAATGCGTACAGTTGTACTCCGCTGACCCGAGTTGCGCTGTTCCTCAGAATGAAGGCGTTCATGAATCCGGACGGGCCTAACCAATTTGATTAACGGAGCACCCCGTTTGACACCGTAGAGAAAAGGGGGGGTCCACGCGGCCAGCCGTGGTGGCGGGGTTTCAGGCGGGCCGCCAGAATCCACGGCATTTCCGTGGACCCCATCTCAGTTGAAGAAGTGCAAGCAAGTTTTAAGTGTACGTCAGACCAATCATATGCATGGGAGCTGGCAAATCCAGCCCGCGGTGGTGGCTGCAACTCCACGTGACGCGTGGGTCCATCGAACCTTCCTGCGCAACTTAGCTAAGCAAACTTTGCGATGGCCAGACCAGGTTGCAGTCGACATAGCGCAGCTGATGTCCAGGCCGGAACAGCCCGACAAACCGATCGCGCTCGCGCAGCGAGTGCGCCGGGCCTGGTCACGAGCCAGGCGCTGGCATGTAGCGCGCAGGCCCGCAGAAAACGCGCAGTCGCTGGATAAGGCGGTTGTTGGATCGAGCTCGCTCAGGGCAGCGAGTCTCAGGCAGGCCAAGTCAGAAATAGCGATGTTCCAACAGTTTTCATGGGCCGAGAAATTCCATGGTGCAATCGATCCAGAGCGGTTGTGGCATTTAGGAGCTATTGTAGAGTTTCCCCTGACCCACTTCTTCCTCGGTCTCAGTCTCCATTTTGGAGCTCGAAGGTGCCGGGCTGGATGCGGCCATTTCGGTGCCCTTGGAGGCCTTCTCAGGGATCTCAGCGGGATGCCCCCAGAGCGCAGATCTGTCACGCCTTGCGCCGTGGCAGATGTTATCGGATCGGCATGGGGGTCTCAGACTTGTGGAAGTGCAGAGCTGGGTGGATGATTGTAGCCAGTTTGTTGTGGGCAAAGAGTCGGCGGCAGCGGGCAGGGCGGCGCGCGCCGCCCAGGCCCGAGCCCGGCACTGCCGCGATTAACGCCTGAGGATATCTAGCAAAAGCGCTTTCATCAGGGGCCCTCCCAGAGTGGTAGATGAGAATCAGCGCAGACTTGGCCTTAGCATCCAGCTCAAGCGCTCGCAGGTCGTCGAGGATCTAGGGGTTGCATCGGCGAGCTGTCTCAACGGCCGAGAAGAGATTGCAAGACAGCGCCCGTAGGGGCAACCTAATTCGGCGCGTTGTCAAAACGCCCAGGGCTGCCGCGTCTTCAGTCAAACTGGCGTCGCACCCCAGGGCGCGCGGGGAATGGGGGCCCGAGGAGCGGCCCCCTCGACGCCGTTGAAGGTGCGAGCGCAGATTTCGGGCATGGTTGGCCGTGAGGAAGGAGGCTGCGCGACTGCGACCGCTAGGATGGCCTTCCTCGCGGCGCACCAGGAACCAATGTTTTTGTCAGGCTGCGTCTTTTCAGCGCGTGGATAGGACTCCTGCCCATGCGTCTTCCAACCCACCGCCGGGCTCTTTATGCCGCCTGGAGAAAAATCCTTTCCAGTTTAGTAAGGGCCAGAAACCGATGGGGCAAAGCCAAGGGGGCCCTGGTGGCTGCGGCGGCCCTCTCTTGGTCCTCGGGCGGAGCCTCTTTCCCCGGCTCTTCGGCAGGGGCCCAGGCGAAATTCAGTGCGACGTGGAGAAAGCTGACCCGCAGTCTATGTCTCAATGCGCGCTGCGCGGAGCCCTGGACCAGTGGGTCAGGGAGCTAGCGGCGGCGCATTTTCAAGGCAGTTCTCGAGCGCGGCCCCGATCTTACAGTCATTCGTCTACGCGTGGCCCCCTTTTGAAAAAGAAGGGCAACGCGAGCAATGCGTCGCAGCTGGTTTGTTCGCAATGATCATGGCAGGCAGGTGCGCTTTGGCCTGCTAGTCGGCGCTGTGGAGAAGAAGCGACCCGGCCCCCTCCGACCCTTCTAGACACGGCCGCCGCCGCTGCGCAGGCGCTAGGGCCAGCTTTTGAGGGGCCCCAGGCGCGCGTTAGAGTCGGCGGCCTGGACGAGGATGAAGTGGTTTTTTTTGGGACTTGGTCAGGCGAGCCCAGGGGGATGATCAGGGCCCTTGGGGGCAACCACCTGACTGCTTTCCAGGGGGGGCTCAGAAGGCCGCGGGGGCATGTTTGCCGCGCAGACCTCCCTGGAACACAGCAAAGTGCCCAAGATGTGGAGCCCCGCAGGAGACCCTCTTCCATCCGCTTTGGGAGCGCCCAGGGCCCGGGGGCCCGGGGCGCTTTCGCTTGGAGCTTTTGGAGGAGGCCCGCGAAGGCCAGCATGGGTGGGCCTGCCATTGGCTAGGAGGTATAGCCCCGTGCCGTTCTCCCCACTCATGGCTCAAAGGTCACGGGGGGCGCCCTGGCGCGCGGCGCGAAAAATCGCTTCGCCATGTCGATGATTGGTGCTCCTGGCGACTCAGGAGGCAAGTGCCATGATGACTCCAGGCTCCAGCGATGCGGGTGGGGTTCGTGGTGATGGACTGGTGGGGCTCACTGGGGTGGGAGCCCGGGCCTTTGGAGCATTAGAAGCTGTCAGTGCCGATCTCCGAGATACGGCTGCAACAGAGGCGGCCAAGGCAAAGGAGGGACCCTTAATTCTGGCGATCGATGCCCAGTCTGCGGGGGATGGCATAAGAGCTGGCCCCCGCGGGCGCCGTGGAACCAATCAGTTTTCATTGAAGAGTGTCGGGGCCGTGATTGGTGAGCGGCCTGTTGAGGCCCCCAAGGTCACGAGTCAGTCAACGGCTGAGGATGCCGAGGCGGACCATGCGCCCCCGCAACCTGGTTCGCCAAACGTCTGGCGGACGCTGCAGCGGAGGAGGGCGCTCGTCGGGCCCAGCTTCCGCCCCTTGCTTTGACCGCGGTAGCGGCCATCGACATGAAGGCGGCCAAGGTGCGCGGCCATTTGCTGGCGGTGGCCCTCGCGGTCACAAAGCAGGCCCCGTCTCTTCATGGCGCGTCGTCGCGCCGAGATCGCGCACGGGATCGCAGGAGCAGTTTCAGCAGTCAGCCCACTCGGTGCAGAAGGATGCCAGGGGCCGCATGCAGTGTTTGATCTGTTTGTCTCGGCCAGGCCCTGGAGAGAGAGCTGGCCTGGCTTTCCAGCCCGTGTGTCGGGTATCTTTTCAACTTGCACAGTAGTCGCGCTGTTTTTTCGGGGAGTTTTCTGGTGTCGGGCCAGTGGGGGGTGCGACGCCGCGTTCTTCCGAATGCTGGGCGTGCTATGCCAGCCTGAAACCATCACCAAAGGTGGAGGGAGTCTTATTACTTCCCTGGAGCAGGACAGATTGCCAGTGTGTGTGTGTGTGTGTGTGTGTGTGTGTGTGTTAAGGACTGGGCTCAGCCAAACGATTTGACACTTCCGAGGCCCATTGTTTTGTTTAGTGGCCCATGAGTCACAGCGGCCCCTGTCAGAGGAACCGGCCGCTAAGGTAGGTACGAGGTAAG